TTTTTTTTTCAAAATTTGTATTGAAATTATCTCCGAATCATGGGACTTTGATGGGCTAAATAATCATCTCTTTTGCTTTCCTTTGCATTTACGTGTGACTAAGTCCATATCAAGATGAATAACGTATAGCAATCGATGTTTTTTCTGGTTATAAGCTGTAATTTGTCTGATTCTTCACATTTTAACGCATGCTGCAAAAGAGTGAATCATTAACAAATTGATGCCGCGGTAGATCAAACAGGTCAAGACAACGCAGCACACTCTCTTAAAATTTCAGCCAAAAGATCTAGCGATATGACTTTAACTATATGGTGCGATAGTTTTTTTAAAGAGGTAATTTGACAAATTTTAAAACCGAGGAATGGGGAAGGAAAAGAGGTTGGTGAAGATAAGAATGAGATCAAAATAATGAGTTGGTATCTCAAAAAAATGTCTTGAATTGAAAAGAAAGTAAACACCCTTGATAAGCTAATTACAAAAGGGTTAAAAGAACAAATCTCTCATCATTTCGGTCTCTGGTACTCCAATTCGTAGCCCTGATTCAGTATGGCTCGAACAGTTCACCTCTTGCAAAAATGAGTATTGCTTTCATATTTGCACTGTCCCTTTGGTACTGATAGTGCAGTGGTTATGAGCGCCGTTGACTTTCTTTCAACGCAGGTTCGATGACGGGGCGGGCTGCAAGTTTTGCGTCTATCCTCAAACCTGCAGAAGAACTTTAAGCCACGTTTACAACTAGCTCATGCCATGTTTGGAGTTGCCACGAGCATGATTCCTTCTTGTTGCGAAAAATTTTGGGGGATTACTACCACCTCTTATGTTTTCTTGAGCACTTCTGCACCTCTTAGGCGGTGCTGAACGGTAAACTTTGCAAACACAATTTAAGATTTCATTTGGGAATACAGTTTCGCTGTAGGGTCAAAATCAAAAATACAACTTTCTAACAAAAGTGCACTCGAACCTCTATTGAGGAGAGGTGAAGCATCGGATTATGATAAATATATATAAAAACATCAGCCTATCATTAAAACGACTGAAAATAATGCGAAACTTTCCAAAAGAGTCTGTCATTATTATATATGTATATGTAAGCATGATAAGCATGAATTTTATAGAGCTATATGTCCTGCTACTACCCGCCTTAAACCAAATCGTACATTCTACGATTTTGAATAGTTGCGTTTTGCAAATACCTATAATTCGGATTTATATTTACTTATTGTCTGGTAATGTAAAAGAGCACACGATCAGCCTTTAACACGTTAGATTTCATTATCAGTATCATAGATCCACGTCTTTAGACATGACTTCGTTTCATTTCCAAGCGGTTATGTTTTAAAAGGGTTACTTTCTGCGATTCAAGCAGTACTCTGTCTCTTCTGGTTTATCTGGGTAGGTTGGGTCTCAGCTTGTAATCAATGTTTCAAATTGTTGCTTTAGGATAAAATCGTGTAACTGAAGGGTGCCCTGTGACTCCGAGAATTGTGAAAGAAAGTCATAGAAGTATTTCTCTTAATCATTCTATATCGCAATTCTTACATATTTGACATATTGAGAGCTGGATCATTTATAGGATATGAAGAGGAGTTCCACAACTTCTGAAGAAGTCTCTAATTTCATAGTAAATTCGGTCATGAACAATGACGAAGTCCTCATCCAAGGTTCTCGCATGAGAATGATGCAGTATAACAGAGCTCGGAAGGAAGCGTGGAACACAATATCAAAAGAAATTTTTGAACGATTCCAAGTGCGCATGAACCCTTACCAAGTTAAGAACCATTTTAGCAATCGCAAGAAAAGAGTGCTTAGAGAAGACAGGGATGGAATAAGGTGCCACAAGTCCTGCTTCAAATTGAAAAGTGTATTAAAACTTTTGCAGAGATAGAATACGAGCTAGTGGAGACGTCCCACAGAGCAAAGAGTGTAAAACTGCAAGACGTGACCTAAGTGATGAGGATATGAAAATTTACAATTATTTTACTACAATGGTTGCTCATAAAGAAACGAAAGAAAACTCTATTCTTCCCTCTCCGCAGAACGAGCTATTCGCAGAAGAAAGAGAAATCTTTGGATTAGAAGAAGATTCTGTACAGGTTAGATTGTCAACAACATATCCTTTATGAACAAAATGTACTAAATGAATTTCAGATGAAAAAAGAAGTCTTTGGGTATTTCTCTGAAAATGAGGGTAAGATTCCTCACTCACATGATGTATCAGCGAGTCAGCTTCGAATTTTGGAAGCGGAACTTATGAAGGTACAAAGGTTGCACAAAACAAACCGCAGACTATAAAAAATCAAAGATTTAGTATCAGGCAAAATGCTTTGATACTTGGTCTCGTCAAGCGACAATGCAAATAGAAATGATACGTAAAGTGTTAGATTTAATTGCGAAAGCAATGAAAGTAATAGAGGATTTACAGGTTAGATAAGATAATTATTCGGTACATTAATTTGATCTTAAATTTTCTTTTAAGGAGACCCTTGTACGCAAGAATACCACGACAGAGCCACTCTTGCGCGGGAACTGTGATAGCGACCTAGGGCCGTATGCATGAATATCCGCACTGAGAAAGGAAGTAGGGGAAAGGGAGGGGGGCCTACCAACATTATCAACATTCTTGCTGTTAAAAATTGCAGTCCTGTTAGAATGGATTACAGTGGGGAGAGGAACCCTTGAGGGAAAAGGACTCCTCAAAATTAGACTCATTACCTTACGTGGTTCTGCGTTTTTTTTACGGGTTAGCTCCCAAATTTTTTGTCGCAATAACACTGAGCTGCCCTCTTGAAGGTGCTTCATCATGTTCGCAGTATATGCCATGCTCCAATCATATTATTTTCATCAGAGTTAGCTAGGTTTGCTGCGCAACGAAATTGCTATCATTCGGAATGAAAAATGTACGAAAGCCTTCTGAAAATTTAAGTATTAGCATGCCAAACTTCACAAGCAACACTGATCCGCCCAAACATTGATTATGTAGAAGCATTTGCAAAAACTATCCAGAGTCCTGTAAAGAATTTAACGAAGCTATGATAAACTGTTGTTGATTAACTCAGAGATATACTCAGAACAAAGTGTACTATGCGCCCTTCATGTTAGTGCTACTCTTCTCGAGGAGTACGGTACACGGATCGACGTCGCCGTATCCGCGACTGGTGTCAACAGTCGCTGAAGTTGGTGGCTGAAATCTTCAACATGGCATTGGGCGGACCGCCACGAATGGACACGATAGTACGCTAGTACAATTTCTGATACGTTTTTTTTTGCTAGTGGCACCGCTCATTAGCAAAAAAAAAACGTATCAAAAATTCGGTCCTCAACGTCAAACCGTCCACAACCGACACTTATCAAAAATGGACATTTTTAGCGATCTCAAGGTGGTATCCCTCGAGGAGAGTAGGATCAGCTTCACAAGCTCCATAACCTCCCACTGGTCATCCTCAATTGGGACCAATCTTCTCCACATGAAGGATGTTGATAAGCTCTCCTACCCTCTCCAGTGAGGATGTGCATGCATACGGTTGCCAGAGATTGGTCAGAGGTCAAGATCAGCTGATATTCGATTCAAGCTAAATAGGCACCAACGTTCAACAAATCAGTCGCAGTGAATTGTAACAATCATATAAAGTCCAACTTAGAGGTTATACGGTTAGAGCAAAACAGTTGTCAATCAGTCCGTTTTTGTTGTTTCGTTGTTTGATTTGTCTTACATATTTATTCTTTAGTAAATTATTCTCTTACCGTCGAAGACTTAGACGGCAATTAGCTATACATTTTCTCACATTATCGACAGCTCATAAAAAGTTTGATAACATAATAGTGTTTTAGAGCCAGATCCCCAAAATCATATCATACTTTGACGATGTGGAGCGTAGACAAAGCTACATAATTAACGGACACCTTA